GGCGTGTGCATTATAGATGCTCAATAAACACTTGTTTCATTAGTGTTTCCCCTAAATGAGTAAACTCCAAAGATCTTGATTTCCTAGTGGTTCAAAGACCTTCTACTAACTATTACTAAGTAATAATTAGATAGTTAAACTAAGGGGACTGCCATTGTGATAACTCTCTTGGAAGAGTAGAACATGCAAATAACCTTAATTCATTTTCTAGATGATGTAAAAAGTCACAGAGGTAATATACATGCCTATGAACCTTAAGAGCACAGACCACGGTGAACCTATAGCAAGTGACACTGGATGATTGATATAAAGTAGCTGACAGAACACATGGCTTGTTTATCTTTGATTCACCAACACGGGACATCAGAATAAGCCCTCAGAATGTGTTTGTTCAGAGAGTATGTCAATCTCTCCCCAACCTAAAGCTTTTGGAGTTACTTGATGCTACTCTTAGAACTGTCCACTCCATAACCCTAGGCAGAACCTCTTCCCTTATTCTCTGATGAGAAGGCCAGATCTTCAACAGGGCTGCCACGAAACCACCTTCTGGAATACCATGTATTCTGTGTGCAGTCTCTAAAGGCCTGAGATTACCATTTCTAGTACCCTGAGATCTCAGACGTATTACCCTGCTGGAAACTGTCTGTACCGTGTTCTGCCAGCTCCATTTTCCAGAGACCAGCTCTCTTCCTTTTATTCCCATACAGTGCTGTGTTCTGCCTGACACTCCCAGTTCCATTTATTTGTTTATTCATTTAGAAACAGAATCACAGTATTTAGCCCAGGCTGGATGCCTGGCATCTGTTATTTAAATCCTACATTTCCAAAACCTCTCCTCCACTCTGCATTTTAGAGCCTCATTTTCATCTCCTGGGGACAGAATTTTTACCTTCTTATCTGAAGTTAATTTATAACTGTGGGCTTGTCCTTAGTGCTTGCCTCTAATTTATTTGCTTCTCCTTGGCCCTAGTCCCCTTTGCTTCTATCACGCCAACATGGTAAATTATAGGTCCCAGCTGGAGCTACCTAGCAAAAACCTGAATGGATGTAGGGACCTCAGTTTTTTGCTTCTCATGTCTATTCTTGTGTACATATGTGAAATTATGTACATGAATGTGCTTTACAGACTAGAACACTCTATACAAATCTATATCATTATTCATATATTTATTTCTCTGATTAGAAATTTAAAACATTTTTGTTTACTCTTGAAAATGCAAATGCAGGGACTAGGGTGTAGTTTGGCATATACAAAGCTGTAGTTTCAACAACGATTACCAAAACAAATGAATGAACATAAACACACACATTAATAAAGCTATAAAGGGAAACGCAGAAAGCCCAGGAAACAAAATATCAGCCATTTTCTTTGTTACTTTCATAGTTCTGTTCTAACGAATTGTCACCAATTCACTGGTGTAAAGTGGCATAAATAAACAGTTCAAAGTCAGTAATGTAGTGTCCTCCCCCCCTCCAGCCTTCCTGCCTCCTTAAAAGGAATCTGTAAGTAGGTGGTCCCTAGATAACCCAAGATAATCTTCCATCTCATTGTTGAACTCATCTGCAAAGTCCTTCTGCTGTGTGAGGTATCATAAGGGACCACTGCTCTGCTTATCACAGCCTCAATCTTCTCATACAGAAACAATGATATGATATTTTACTATAATCTTTAGGATCCTTTTGCTCTATGTATTTGTGTGTATTTTTATAAAATTATAATACGATATATTGTTTATGATTTGTTTTTCAATCTTGTACTACTATATTAACACTTTTAAATATTTTTCAGAACCATGAGTTTTAATATCACAATATTTGCTTCCATTTATATATGATACTTTCTTTAAAAATTTTCTATTGTTAGAATTTAGCCCATTTTGTGATTAATATATCTACATACATCTTTGTGGTTATTTTTTCATAATTTTTCAAATATATATATGTTTTTTTGAGACAGGGTTTCTCTGTAGCTTTAGAGACTGACCTGTAACTTGCTCTGTAAATCAGACGGGCCTTGAACTCACAGAGATCCATCTGCCTCTGCCTTCTGAGTGTTGGGATTAAAGGTGTGTACCACCAACACCCAGCTTCAAAAGCCAATTTAAAGTTTAAATTTGCTGGTATAGAAAACAAGTATTATGAAAATATCATTAAAACAAATAATTTTCTGGACTGAAAATTTACTTGGTGATTAAGAAAACTAATCTGCTAATTTTACAGCAGAGGAAATTGAAGACCAGGGGAAAGTGTTAAGTCCAGAGTAATAGAACAGAAAAGAATTAAATTTAACTATTTGAATTGCGTGATGACAAATATCACAGAAATAGCACAGGTGGCTGGCCTTGGTGTCTGAGCCCATGAGGCATGGTGGGAGCACACGCGATGAGGGAAGGAAATGGCAGCGAGCTTGGGAGATTGGATGCATTCAGCCCAATGACGAAACTGAGCAAGTGAAATACATGGAGGCTGAAGGGACTCACGGTCCTTACTGTTGGGGAAAGTATTTATCCTTATGTTTAAGCATGGAAAATGTGAAGCCTAGAACTAACTTTGAGGCATTCAAATATTATTGAAGATATTTGCAGGAATCCATAGTTTAATACATGTTCTGATAGATTTATAGTTACATACATACATACACCTATGTGTGAGAGAGGAGACAAATAACAATCTGAGAGGAAGTATTTGCAACATGTAGGTCGAGGAATGAGTTTTTTTTTAATATATAAACAGCTTCTACAAATCAGTATTTTCATGATAACTCAGTTTAAAGGGGACAAAAGCTATGACCAGACAATTATTTTATGACCAGACAATTAAGCGGAGATAAGCAGAAGGGCTGGCAAACATGAGAAGCTGTTCGTTATCAGTAATACTGATTAAATGAGATAATGGTCACTGTCTGCTAAACAGGTGAGAGTTGAGAGGCTGAGAGTATGTCTGTCTCCCAGGTGGCATCATGGGGAGGCCAGTCAGAATATTACGGTGCTTTTTGAGGTGATATCACTTGCAAAACTGCTGGAGAATATGTCTACATTTGTAAGTTAAACACAGAAAACCTATTTGTGTTGACCCAATACAGAGATATTGCTTAGCAAATAATGGGAAGCACAAGGAGACATGGGGAAACAGATAATCAGACGATCACATAAACAGGTTTAAGCTGCCACTGAGATTAGTAATAGAAGTATGGTGGATAATAATATAAGAACCAAACAGGGAAGCCAGGAAGGGCTTCTCCAATTAGGTATGGTCTGTACTTAAATATTATGGGTAGGAAGAAGGGTTAACTCCGTTATTTTAAAACAAAGAGCAAAACGCCGAGGGGTAGGAGCTTGTTCATGTCTGTAACCTCAGTGAGTAGGATGCCAAGACAGAAGGATCAAGTTTGAAGGCAGTCTGGAACTACATAGCAGACCCTGACAAGAGCGTTTCAGGCTGAGGCAGCATATTTCTGGCAGAGTGTGGTATAGTGAACAAGAGAGATGGGGGAAGTTGTGTGGGTGGACTCAGGATAAAAAGAGAGATCTGAGATGAGAGAGGGCTGGGCAAATGCACACAGGACTGGTGTGGGATATCTTCTCCGGAGCCCATATAGGTGGTAAGCCCAGGAAGAATCAAATGTTGTGTTTAGAGGAGGTCCCTCTTCTGTGTGCAAGTCTTTCTATATCAAACTCAAATAAGAGCTATCAGTGAGCTGCGTCCATAGTTTCATCTTCTCTACCACCCCAGGAGCCTCAGACTTTCTCCTTCTTCCTAGGACATACATGTGAAGGTACAGTCTCCTCCCACCCCATTCCCGGCCACTTGAGTCTTTCACCAGGGAAGTTTCTGAATGCCTCTCAGTGTGTCCTTTTCTCCGTCTTGTGAGTCTGGGAACAGAATGGTCGAATGGAGGCGAATAAAAAATGGTTACTTAACAAACCCCAAACTGCCTAAAACATAAACCCTTGCTTTTAAACCATAATCTGACTCAAATAGCAAAGGTAAAACTGAACAATGAACACAGTTTATTGACACTACAGTGTTTGATGCTAGAGGATATGGGAGGGTGGGAAACTGCAAAGCCATTTCAACCTTCAGCCCGAAATCTAGACACTCAACATGAGAAGTAGAGGAACCAAATATTAAGCAAGTGAGTCCTGTGAAGTAGTAAATTTACACATTATCACTCTAGGGGAAAATTATTTATAGAAAATAAAACCTGCAGAGTCAAAGAATATCACACATGTAATCTTGAATAAATAAAAGCCTATTATAGAATACGTATGTATATGTACAATATCTAAGATACTTCCTTAAAAACATATAGAGTGGAACCATATATTATTTCTGGTGCCTTTGTGTACGCTAAAAGTATAAAGATATGTAATATTATCACCCCACTAAATTTGAGATGGAAGTCCCCACCTATCCACAAGGAGGAGGAAGAGCTACATGTTCAGCAAGGGTACCCTGACTGGAGGTGCTGTTCATGTCACGTTATCTTTTAAGTGGAGAGAGGGCATATGATATTGATTGTATAATTACTTAGACCTTTTTGTTTCTGAAATATACCCCAATACATGACTAAAAGAAAACATTGGTAATCTGAATTGTTAATGAACTACTGACAAGGAAAAAAAAAGAACAGATACAAGCTCTTAACTCATTTCTGGCTATTCATTTTTCTACTCAAGAACACAGTTTAGATAGGTTCAGTCCCTTAACAGTGTAAAATAGTTTCCCAATAAGATATAATCGTAGCAATAATGGACTGAAATGAGAGGCCCAGCTAACAACTGGGTTGGATGAGTTTCAGTCATTTAAACGTCTACTGTGCATGAATGATAGAACTTTGAACATATTAATCGACAGAAATCCTTAGGTCAGCATAGATGTCACTGATGTAGATTTACAGTCAGCTCACCAGTGAATACTGGATGCTCCCTGATACTGTCTGCTGCATGAGTGTGGTGGGTATTTCAGTGTCATATATGCCAACTGTTTGTTTGACTTACCTGCTGCTCTAAGGTGTTTGGGTCAATAAAAGTCACCAGATCTATAGAAAAGTAACCAATCACATCTTTCTTTTTGCAGGCATTTCCAATTCGTAGACACAAAGATCTGAGAACTTGGGGATCCACTGAGGTCTGAGGCATGGTGGTACCAGAAGAAATAAAGGGGCCTTCAGCATGAAACTGGTCCCCCACTGACAGCACTCTGACTTCTCCATCAGGCTCTATCAACATGTCTACGGTGATGTTGGTGACACTGTCTGCAGGTGGGTATGCTTCAATCACGCCACCTGGTTGGAAACCATGGGGTAGATGAAAGAACAGAGTCAAGGGAATGACCCACTTGCAGGCAGAAGAAATGGTCTATGTTGGCAGGGGAACTTGGACTCAGATCTTGCACTTGCTATCTTGGGAAACTAGACAAATAGCTTCAACCTTCAACTTGCTTATCTTTATTTATAAAATGGGGGCATAATATCTACCTCACCAAGCTGTTACAAAGTTTGAGAAATTGTGTCTATGGTATTTAGCCTGGTACTTGACACATGGGAGGGCTCAATGAACAGTAGTCTTGATTATGATCATAATTACACACACCTTATAGATACCCTGCTTAGAACTACTCATTACATTAATGAAGAATCCAAGGATTATGATCAAATCCCTCAGAGGCAATTAACTGTCCACTGTCCACTGTTTGTATCCTAATAACCAGTGTGCTCCTTCTGCCTAGCATTATTACTTTTCTAAGGTTTGACATGTGTGAGCTTGTAATAGGCATAGAAAACACTGACCATCATGCTGCTCCTAATAATCCTGTAGAAAGCCAAACATAGGAACTGGGGAGATGATACAGTTAGTAAAGTGTTTGCCACAAAAGCATTGTGGAGGACTTCAGTTTAAATCTCAGCACCCATGTAAAAACTGGGTGTGCTGACATATGCCTGTGACACAGGACTAGAGAAGCAGAGACAGGAAGATCCTTGAGGTTTATTGACTAGCTCATGTAGTTGAACCAGCAAGTCAAACATTTTGTGAGAGACCCTGTCTCAAAAGTAAAGTGGAAAACAACCAAGGAAAACATTTCAACATCAACCTGTGTCCTCCACATGCATGCACATTCACCCCTACACACACACACACACACACACACACACACACACACTTGATGCTTTGGCTAAGTAATAGTTGGGCAGTGATTTCTGTCCATCTTTACAAACCACACTTGAAGCAGTATCATATATAGTTAACTTCTGAGATTTTTTAGCAGTTCTAAAAGGCAGTCATATAGGAGACACTTTCACTCAATGTCTATGACTTTGATTAGGGGTAGCCTTAATGGATGCTAAATTTCAGAAGGAAAACCATTTGTGTATGTGTGTGTGGGTGCATATTTGATCTCTACTTTATCTGCTGGGTTTGTTCAAGATGTTCTTCAAATGACCTCTGCTATAGTGTGTAACAACTGAATGCCAGTTGTTGGGGATTTAATAAGAAGAATATAACCAAACCAAACCAAACCAAACCAAACAAATAAACAAGAAAGTGAGTCTCTATGGTTCAGTTAACTTGGTGTTTTGGCTGCCACTTGGGATAACGTATCGGTATCCTTCATGATTTGCGAAATCACTTTGGATGCCATGGAGTCTTTTTATTTTTATTTTTTATTAATTTTTTTAAATTTAAAATAGAAACAAGCTTACTTCACATGCCAATCCCAGCTCCCCCTCCCTCCCCATCTCCCCAGTCACCCACCAACCTCCTCCCATCCTCCATCCAATCCCCACTCCACTCCCCAGGGAGGGTGAGGCCCTTCATGAGGAATTTCCAAAGTCTGTCATATCATCCGGGGCAGGGCCCTGCCCCATGTGTCCAGGATAAGAAGACACCTCTCCATGTGGTATGGGCTCTCAAAGTCCATTTGGATGCCAGGGATAAATACTGATCTACTACCTGAGGCCCCATAAAATTGCCAAGGCCTGCTCAATGACACCCAAATTTAGGGGGTCTGGATAAGTTCCATGGTGGGCTCTCAGCCATCAGTCTGGACTCCATCAGGTCCCTCTTGTTCAGGTAAGCTGTTTCTGTGGGTTTCTCCAGTCTGGTTTTTGACCCCTTTTTCATCTTTCCTCCCTCTCTGCAACTGGGTTCCAGGAGTTCAGTTCAGTGTTTAGCTGTGGGTGTCTGCCTCTGCTTCCATCAGCCAATGGATGAAGGCTCTAGGACAGTATATAAGCTAGTTGTCAATCTCATTATTAGGGAAGGGCTTTTAATGTAGCCTCTCCACTATTGTTTAGATTGCCAGTTGGTGTCATCCTTGTAGATCTCTGGAAATCGCACTAGTGCCAGATCTCTCCTCAAACCTATAATGACTCCCTCTATTATGGTATCTCTCATTCTACGCTCTATTCTTCCCCAGATTCAACTCCTACTCCCTCTTCTCTCACCCCATGCTCCCAATCCTCTCAGGAGATCCTGTCCCATTCTCCTTCTCCAGGGTACCAAGTATATCTCTCTTAGGGTCCTCCCTGTTTCCCAGACTCTCTGGTGGTGGGACTGTAGACTGGCAATCCCCTGCTCCATGTCTAAAACCCATAAATGAGTGAGTACATACCGTGTTTGTCTTTTTGTGACTGGGTTACCTCACTCAGGATGATATCTTCTAGTGCCATCCATTTGCCTGCAAATTTCAAGATTCCATTGTTTTTTTCCATTGTGTAACGTACTACATTTTCTCTATTCACTCTTCCGTTGAGGGGCATCTAGGTTGCTTCCAGGTTCTGGCTATTACAAATAATGCTGCTATGAACATAGTGGAACAGATGTCCTTGTTGTATGAATGTGCATCTTTTGGGTATATGTCTAAGAGTGGAATTGATGGATCTTGTGGTAGACTGAGTCCCATTTTTCTGAGGAATCTCCATACTGATTTCCAAAGTGACTGTACAAGTTGGCACTCCCACCAGCAATGGAGGAGTGTTCCCCTTTCTCCACATCCTCTCCAGCATAAACTATCATTGGTGTTTTTTATTTTAGCCATTCGAACAGGATTAAGATGGTATCTCAGAGTTGTTTTGATTTGCATTTCCCTAATGGGTAAGGATGTCGAGCACTTTCTTAAGTGTCTATCAGCCATTTTAGATTTCTCTACTGAGAATTCTCTATTTAGTTCTGTATCCCACTTTTTTTTTGGATTTTTTTTCAATTATTTTTTTTAATTTTATTTTCCAGTTTAAATTTAGACAAGAAACAAGGTTGCTTCAACAAGTCAGTTCCAGGTCCCTCTCCCATTCCCTCCCATCCTCCCGTGCCCTCCCCCCAACCCCCCCCCCCCCGCTATCCCCTCATTCCCCCAGGGAGGGTGAGACCCTCCATGGGGGTGTCCATAGTCTGTCATTTCATATAGGGCAGGGCCTAGACCCTTCCCCAAGAGTTCAGGGTGAGAGTGCACCTCACATTGTTCTATGGGAGTCCAAATTCCGTGTGTATACTTGGGATGGGTACTGATCTGCTGCCCAAGGCTCAATAGATTCCCTAGGCCTCCTCACTGACACCCAGATTCAGGGGGTATTGATCAGTCCCATGCTGGATTCCCAGGCTGATGCCTGGGATTCAAGAGTTAACCTTTGTCTGGTCAGCTGTTTCTGGGGATTAAACCAGCCCAGTCTTAATCCCTTTGATCATCAGTCCTCCCTCTCTGTTACTGGCTTTCTTGAGTTCAGCTCAGTACTTAACCAAGGGAGTCTGCCTCTTCTTCGATCAGCCACTAAATGAAGTTTCTGTTTCCCAGACTCTCTGGCCATAGGATTGTAGGCTGGCACTCCCCAGATCTATGTCTAAAATCCATATATGAGAGAGTACATGCCATGTTTCTTTTTTTGTGACTGGGTTACCTCACTCAGGGTGGTTTCTTCTAGTGTCATCCATTTGCCTGCGAATCTCATGATTCCATTTTTTTTTCTGCTGAATAGTACTCCATTGTGTAGATGTACCACATTTTCTCTATCCACTCTTCTGGTGTTTTGGAGACTTGTTTCTTGAGTTCTTTGCTATTTTGGAAATCAGCCCTCTGTCAGATGTGGGGCTAGCGAATATCTTTTCCCATTCTGTGGGCTGCCTTTTTGTCTTGTTAACTGTGTCCTTTGCCTTAAAGAAGCTTCTCAGTTTCAGGAGGTCCCATTTATTAATTGTTGATCTTGGTGTCTGTGCTACTGGTGTTATATTCAGAAAGCAGTATCCTGTACCAATTAATTCGAGGGTACCTCCCACTTTCTCTTCTAAGAGGTTCAGTGTGGCTGGATTTATCTTGAGGTGTTTGATCCATTTGGACTTAAGTTTTGTGCATGGTGATAGATATGGATCTATCTGCAGTCTCCTACAAGCCAACATCCAGTTATGCCAGCACCATTTGTTGAAGATGCTTTCTTTTTTCCATTGTATAATTTTAGCTTCTTTGTCAAAAATCAAGTGTTTGTAGGTGTGTGGGTTGATATCAGGGTTTTCAATTCAATTCCCTTGGTCTACCTGTCAATTTTTGTGCCAATACCAAGCTGTTTTCAGGACTATAGCTCCATAATAGAGCTTGAAGACAGAGATGGTGATGCCTAAGTTCCTTTATTGTACAAGGTTGTTTTGGCTATCTTGGGTCTTTTGTTTTACCATATAAAGCTGATTATTGTTCTTTCAAGGTCTGTGAAGAATTGTGCTGGGATTTTGACAGATGTTGCACTGAATCTGTACATTGTTTTTGGTAAAATTGTCATTTTTACTATGTTGATCCTACCTATCCAAGAGCATGGGAGATCCTTCCATTTTCTGGTATCTAATTTCTTTCCTTAAAGACTCAAAGTTCTTGCTATACAGGTCTTTGACTTGTTTGGTTGGCATTACCCCCAAGATAGTTTATGCTGTTTGTGGCTATTGTAAAGGGCAATGTTTCTCTGATTTCTTTCTCGGCCCATTTATTATCTGTATACAGTAGGGCTACTGATTTTTTTTAGTTAATCTTGTATCCTGCCACTTTGCTGAAGGTGTTTATCAGCTGTAGGTGTTCCTATGTAGAGTTTTTCAAGTCATTTATGTAAACTGTCATATTTCCTGCAAACTGAAAGTTTGACTTCTTCCTTTCCAATTTGTATTCCCTTGATCTTCTTTTGTTGTCTTATTGCTCTAGCTAGAACTTCTAGTACAATATTAAAGAGATAAGGAGAGAGTAGACAGCCTTGTCTTGTTCCTGATTTTAGAGGAATTGCGGTCGCGTTTCTCTCCATTTAGTTTGATGTTGGCTTTT